AGAAATTACTTCTGGCTTCTTCTTGTAAATGCTATTGTACTATATGCCAAAAGTTTTTTAAAGATTTTATTTATTTGGTAGAGAGAAATGAGAGAGAGAGAGTGAGCAGGAGGGAGAGAGAGACAGACTCTGAAGCGGACTGCGCTGAGCGCAGAACCCAATGCAGGGCTCAATCCCAAGACCTCGAGACTGTGTCCTGAGGTGAAACCAAGAGTCGGAGGCTTAACCAACTGAGCCACCCAGGCACCCCTGTATGCCAAATTTTTAAGAGCTGCGCTATCACAATGATGACTTCATGATTTCGTTTTATGCAAAGGTAGGAATAATCGGACATTCCTGTGCCTGTGCCCACCTTCCCATATACCTACTCTGGAAAGTTCAGACCTGACCACCCAGGATGGCCCCACTCACCTGTGCCCTCTCCACCGTCCTTCCTTCCTTCAGAGGGCTCTGCAGTCTTAAACCTTATGATGAACTTGCTTTCTCTAATGCTCTCCCTCCTCTTCCCCTTTACTGCCCACCCCAGGCGGCCTTGTAACTTGGAAGTGTTTATTTTTACCATCTGTGTCTGAGTGTGACTGTGAGCAGAACCAGCCTTGTGTTGAAGGCAAGAGCTCCCACCTCCTGTCCTTCCACCCTCACATCTTCCTCTCTAGACCAGATGAAGGTTCTTAAAAGTCCCCACCCCACCCTTCCCTACCACTATGGCTCCATCCTAAACCATCTCCCAATCTCAACCCCAAGCTTCCTGATATTTCCTTGGAATCATTTTTAAAGTATCCTCTACAGAAAGCGCTTTTCAACTCCAGCAACACTCCTCGTTTAGCAGTACTCTCTCCTCCCCTCCCACGGCTTCAGAACAACCGGGGGGCGCTCACTCAGACTCTGGCCCAGGGGTCCCAAGTATTTACTCCTTCTGAAGCACTCAGAGTTACTCTGTACCACAATCTATCCATGTTCTCAAGGCCTGCCACTGTTAAGGGTGAATTCCTGAGACTTGGAACTACGTTTTATTTGTATTTTTAGCACACAGTAGATTTTCAGTGTAAGAATGCAAGGGTGTCAGGGAGATCCTCTTTCCCCAGCCCCATTCTCTCTCCTCAGCACCACATACAACCCCACTTGTCCAAGAGCCACCTCTGTCTAGCTGTCCATGCGGGCACCTCAGAAATCGCCAATTCTTTTTTTTTTTTTTTTAAGATTTATTTATTCACTTGAGATGGAGTTGTGGGGGAGACACAGAGGGGGGGAATCTCAAGCAGATTCCTTGCTGAGTGCGGAGCGTAACCTAGGGCTCAATCCCACGACTTTGAGATCATAACCTGAGCCAGAACCAAGAGTTGGCTGCTTCACAGACTGAGCCACCCAGGTGCCCTGAAATCTCCAATTCTTCATGGCCAAAAGCAAACAAACTGTTCCCCGACTCTCAAAACTCCTGATTTCTGATGATTTTAGCCACCTTAATGTGGCCCAAAGCATGCTCTTCCATCACAGGTAACCAATCATTAAGACCTCCTAGACGTTTTACCTCAGTATTTATTACCTCCTCTCTCATCCTTATTGCCTCATATTTCTGAGGTCAGGCCCTGGTCTCCCAAAATAACCTCTCAACTTCCAGCCCCTTTTCCACAAAATTACCAGAGTGCTCCTCCTAAAACACAGCAATCATGCCCCAGTCTAGTGATAAATCTCTTCCATCTCCCGCATTCCTCAGTGATCAAGTCCAAACTCTGCACATAGCATCCGAGGCCTTTCCACATCTGTGCCCTGACACCCCATGCCAGCCCCCTCCTTCCATGTATTTTTCAACCCAGAAGAACAAACTCACCTATATGCCCTTGAACCTGCTCTGTTCTCGTGACTCTGTACATGGGGTTTCCTCTGGCTGGAATCTTTTACTCCAAGGTCCACCAAGGGCTCATTTTCTGTGTTTCTTTTCTTTTTTTTTACCATTTTATTTTTACATAAGCTCTATACCCAACATGGGGCTCAAACCCACAACCCTAAGATCAAGAGTTATATGCACCCCACCAAGGACTCATTTTCATCCCACTAGGTCCAACTCTTGGGACCTTTTTGGGATGGTTCTTCAACTGATATCTGGGGTGTTAACGTTTATTTACAATAGCTTCCTTCTAAAAGGAGTTTCAGGGGGCACCTGGGTGGCTCAGTGGGTTAAGCCTCTGCCTTCAGCTCAGGTCATGATCTCAGGGTCCTAGGATCGACCCCCGCATCAGGCTCTCTGCTCAGCGGGGAGTCTGTTTCCCCTTCTCTCTGTCTGCCTCTCTGCCTACTTGTGATCTCTCTCTCCATCAAATAAATAAATAAAATCTTTAAAAAAAATAAAATGAGTTTCAGGTAGCTTATAAAGTATGCACACACTGCAGGTGGACTTTTTTTTTTTAATAAGAGAAAGATATCAGGGCAAATCAAGGAAAAGGTTAAAAAAAAAAGAAGAAGAAGTTAGGAGGTGGTGTAGCACTCAAAATCTCTATCATAGGGGAACCTGGGTGGCTCAGTCGTTAAGCGTCTGCCTTCAGCTCAGGCCATGATCCCAGGGTCCTGGGATAGAGCCCCACATTGGGCTCCCTGCTCAGCGGGAAGCCTGCTTCTCCCTCTCCCACTCCCACTGCTTGTGTTCCCTCTCTCGCTGTGTCTCTCTCTGTCAAATACATAAATCTTAAAAAAAAAATCTCTATCATAAAATCTCATACCCTTCTTGTTAGAGGTAATCTGGCCCCGAGTTTTCTATCCAGAATGAATTAGTTAGTCCTCTGTGAGCTCACTGCCAGTTGTATCTGACTATACTGGAGCACTTCCCATATTTTTTGTAATGGGCTCTTTGTGTCCATCTCCCTCACCGGACTGGGAAATTCATAAGGGAATACATAATTTCTGACTCATCTCTGTATCCCCCAGCAAGAAGCATATGACTCAGCAGACAACTGGTGCTGGGCAGACATTCGTTGAATGAATGTCACCATGGACAGAGAAGAAGGTACTAGTGTTGGCTGAGCTCCCTACCAAGCATTTGAAAGACATTGTTTTTATCCTCATAAAAAATTACATGGCTGATAAATGGCAGAGCCAGGATTTGAACCCCAAACTGCCTCTCTTTCCAAAGCAGCTGCACTTTCCACCGTGTACACTACTCCCTACCTTCACCATCACTAGGCACCCAAATACTTGCTCTGTCAAGGCCTGGTTTTAAATGAACCCTTCTCCAGAAGCCTTTCCTACTTACTCAGGAGAAAGGTCAGCCTGAATCCAGCCCAGACCTACCTTCCACAACAAGTAAGAAATGGCCACAAATGGGGAGAGGGAAGAGTGCCTTCTTGTAGGTCAGAACCAAGCAGGCTGCATTGGTATTCTGCTGATGGTGTTGTGAAGTCCTCAGCTCCCCTTTCCAGTCCCTTTCCTAGGGGTACAGTCCCTAGGCCCTCCTGCCTCTCTCTGCCTTCTTCACAGTCTGAAGCCCTCCATTCTCCCCAATCCAAACTGAACCCCCAAGTAATTTCCTAATGCCCACAGCTCCTCTACCCAAATGAACTGTGTTCAAAATATACTCTTTCATTACATCAGGCAGGCCTTTGTATCTTAAGTGTCTTATCAACATTTAGGGTCCATGAGTATCCCAATCTCCTCAAACACATGAAAAGAATTTCAGGAATCACAAGAAGGGACAGTGACATTTTGGGAAGAGTCTGGTTCTCAACCCATCTGAATATTTTTGGGGTGGCCTGTGAGTAAGAAAAGACAACCTGTGATCTCATCCCAGCATCCCTTCCCCCTCCCCCAGGCAGGATGCCTGTCTCTAAGGGCAGGAGGGAATTCTGGTCCAGAATGCTTCTGGAGTGGTGAACCTTGGTCTCTTCCTCAACATCTTCCAGAGCTTCAGAATTCTTCCCTCTCTCCCCCTCCACAGTCCTCCCCTTTTCCCTCGCTCATCCCAAACTCTCCTAACAGTCCTCAATCATAACTCAGGAACTATGATTTGAATTCATATTCAACAATTTCCTTGGTAACACAACCTCCCATCTGACATGCTGAAATCCACACCCCTGGCCATGATATTTTTCTACCTCATTTTAAATATGTGACAAATAGATCCCTGCGTCCTATAACCCCCTCTCCTGTACTGCAGAAAACATCTGTAATCTTAAATGTTACCACATCTAAGAAACAACCAATCTCCTGAATCGGAGCAGGGAAGCTAAATAAATCCTTCACTCTTTCCTACTCATAAATAAAGATCATTCGGGCAATTTACAGTAGCTACCTCATAGCGCCCGCGTGATGATTTAGATAACTCATGCCAACTGTTTAGTACCTGGGGCCTGATACAGAGAAAGTGCTCAACATTTAGCTATAATCATTTATGTACATTATCTCTCACAATAGTACTAGGGGGTAGTACTACAGAATGCACTTCCCCGAAACACCCCTCCACCGTACCCCCATTTACAGTAACAGCAGCCCCAGACTCGGAGTAAAGAAGCTTTCCCAAGGTCAGGCGGGCACCGATGTCGTGCTCGGCCCTCGAGCTCTGACTGAGGGACCCCTCCCATGACACCCACGGACGGGGTAGTGGGGTCGTAAAGGAGACAAGTATGGAAGAGCGCCGAGCACAGTGCCTGGCAAACAGCGGGGATCCGGAGCTGGGAAGACCCCGGCACTGCGGTCGCCTGGACTCCTCCCCAGCGGCTCCCCCCGGCCCGGGGGCGGGGGAAAGGGGACAGCGTCCCCCCAGCCCCGGGCGCGCCGCCTAATCTCCCCGAGGTCCGCGCCCTGGGGCTTTGTACGCCGCAGGCCGGCCCCACTCACCGAGTCCCATCGCGGCGCGCAGAGGCGGCCTCCCGGCCTGCGGGGCAGGGGTCGCGGCGGCTCGGCCCGGAAGCCCGCCATGAGGGCCCGCGGCCCCCCCCAACCGGGCCCGCGGCCCCCCCCAACCGGGCCCGCGCCCCCACCCCCGCCCCGCTGCGGCCCGGGGAGCCTCCTACCTGCAGCGGCGGCGCGGCGGCCGCGGCGACCGGAGGAGGGGCCGGCGAGGCGCTAGCGCGGGCGGCCTCGGCTCCTCTCGCAGGCGGGGCGGCCGGGAGGGCCGGGAGGGCCGCGGGCTCCGGAGCGCCGCGCGGCGGCGCGCCCCCGGCCGGCCAGGCCCCACCGCGCGCGCCGCGGCCACAAAGCCCGGGAGCCGCCGCCCCCTCGCGGGCCGACTGCCGGCTGCGGGTCCGTCGGCGCCGAGCAGGGCGGGAGCACGGCCCCGCGCAGTCCCCACCTCCCCGAGCTGCGGCCGCCGGGTTCCCCCGAGGCGCGGGGCGGGGCGCGGGATGGCCCCCGCCTACCCGACTCTCCCTAGGTGCTCACAGCCGGGTGCTGATTGAGTTCCCTCTTCACACCTCTGCAGAGGGGCTCCTGGAGAGCCCGAGAAACTGTTTCATCTCCGGGAACAACAAAAGAATGCGTTTGCCACAAGGGATTTGGCGGCCATGGACACGAGTTTGCTCGGTCAAGTCCTCCGTCTGAAAAGGGCCCCCTATTCTTTTGGGATTCCCCGCTACTTGAAACAGCCAACCCTCGTGTGCTGGGTTCTTCACGGAGTTTTGTTTTGTTTTTGTTTTTGTTTTTTTTTAATTTACGGCATGTGTCTCCCCCTAGGCTGCGCGCTCCTAGAGGAGGGACTGTGCCCTCTGGAGCCCAAGATCTGGCTCAGGCACTTTGTGCTGAGTAAGTGGAAATGCAGGCGAGGATCAATGAATGCACGACAGTCCGAACTCTAGGACAAGGCACCTTTTATTGCACCTCCCACAAGGATGGTGGCCCCGTGTTTCTTATGCCCTGTATCTGTTGGGAAGATTCCAAGCTCAGAAGGGCAGAAACGGCTGTTGAACTTTTTTGTTTTAATTAAGGTGAAATTCACATAACATTAACCACTTTAAAATTAATAATTCAGTGGCATTTGTTACATTTGGATGTTGAGCAACCAACATCTTCATCTGGTTCTGAAACATTTTTATCATCCCAAAAGGTAAATTGGTGGCATGAAGCAGTCATTCCCCATTCCCTCTCCCCCCAACCTCTGGCAAGCACTAATCTATTTTCTGTCTCTTTGGATTTACCTATTCTGGACATTTCATGTAAATGGAATCACAATAGATGGCCTCCTATGTCTGGCTTCTTTAACTTAGCTTGATATTTGTAGGTTCAGGCATCTGTAGCATGTATCTATGAGTACTATCAGTACTTCATTCCTTTTTGTGGCTGAATAATATTCCATCGTATGTATACCAGTTTGTTTATGCATTCACCATTGATGAACATTTGCTGCCCTTAACATGCTTGTGAATGTATCTGTCTGAGTACCTATTTTCAGTTCTTTGAGATATACACCTAGGAATGAGATTGCTGGGTCCTATGGTAATTCTGTGTTTACCTGTCAAAAAGGAAGCCGAAAAGCTTTTCCTAGTGGCTGAATGAATGATGTTACATTCCCACCAGCAAAGTACGGGGGTCCATATTCTCCGCACTATTATATTACAGATTTGAAGCTATTTCTGCCTTCCCTGCTCCCACAGCCTACAGCCGTAGAACAGAGACTGAGCCAGATCTCTTGACTACAGAGAGATACCCAAACACTCCCAGGATCAGAAGCGCCAATAAAAATAAAGACACTTACTTTAATGATGAGTTTTAACTGTTTCTTGTTTGTCGTCTTAATAATTTGTTTTGTGTCCAAGGGAGAACCTATAAACTAAGACCATCTGAGGGGGTTGCTGTTGATAAACAAACTTTAGGACAATCACCTCACTGGAATCCAAGGCAATACACCATTTCTACTATAGCCTTCCACCCCGATGTCACATAAGACATCCATGAATATTTCCTTCTTAAATAAGGATATAGTACAAAGGACACTATTGGTGTATGAAAATAGAAAGCCAATGGAGATTAGAAATCTTGCAAATGGCAAGATTTCATTTCTTTTGATGGCTGCATAGTATTCCATTGTATATATATACCACATCTTCTTTATCCATTCGTCTGTTGATGGACATCTAGGTTCTTTCCATAGTTTGGCTATTGTAGACATTGCTGCTATAAACATTCGGGTGCACGTGCCCCTTCGGATCACTACGTTTGTATCTTTAGAGTAAATACCCAGCAGTGCAATTGCTGGGTCATAGGGTAGTTCTATTTTCAACATTTTGAGGAACCTCCATGCTCTTTTCCAGAGTGGTTGCACCAGCTTGCATTCCCACCAACAGTGTAGGAGGGTTCCCCTTTCTCCGCATCCTCGCCAGCATCTGTCATTTCCGGACTTGTTAATTTTAGCCATTCTGACTGGTGTGAGGTGGTATCTCATTGTGGTTTTGATTTGTATTTCCCCGATGCCGAGTGATATGGAGCACTTTTTCATGTGTCTGTTGGCCATCTGGATGTCTTCTTTGCAGAAATGTCTGTTCATGTCTTCTGCCCATTTCTTGATTGGATTATTTGTTCTTTGGGTGTTGAGTTTGCTAAGTTCTTTATAGATTCTGGACACTAGCCCTTTATCTGATATGTCGTTTGCAAATATCTTCTCCCATTCTGTCAGTTGTCTTTTGATTTTGTGAACTGTTTCCTTTGCTGTGCAAAAGCTTTTGATCTTGATAAAATCCCAATAGTTCATTTTTGCCCTTGCTTCCCTTGCCTTTGGCGATGTTCCTAGGAAGATGTTGCTGCGGCTGAGGTCAAAGAGGTTGCTGCCTGTGTTCTCCTCAAGGATGTTGATGGATTCCTTTCTCACATTGAGGTCCTTCATCCATTTTGAGCCTATTTTCGTGTGTGGTGTAAGGAAATGATCCAATTTCATTTTTCTGCATGTGGCTGTCCAATTTTCCCAACACCATTTATTGAAGAGGCTGTCTTTTTTCCACTGGACATTCTTTCCTGCTTTGTTGAAGATTAGTTGACCATAGAGTTGAGGGTCTATTTCTGGGCTCTCTATTCTGTTCCATTGATCTATGTGTCTGTTTTTGTGCCAGTACCGTGCTGTCTTGATGAAGACAGCTTTGTAATAGAGCTTGAAGTCCAGAATTGGGATGCCACCAACTTTGGCTTTCTTTTTCAATATTCCTTTGGCTATTCGTGGTCTTCTCTGGTTCCATATAAATTTTAGGATTATTTGTTCCATTTCTTTGAAAAAAAATGGATGGTACATTGATAGGAATTGCATTAAATGTGTAGATTGCTTTAGGTAGCATAGACATTTTCACAATATTTATTCTTCCAATCCAGGAGCATGGAACATTTTTCCATTTCTTTGTGTCTTCCTCAATTTCTTTCATGAGTACTTTATAGTTTTCTGTGTATAGATTCTTAGTCTCTTTGGTTAGGTTTATTCCTAGGTATCTTATAGTTTTGGGTGCAATTGTAAATGGGATGGACTCCTTAATTTCTCTTTCTTCTGTCTTGTTGTTGGTGTACAGAAATGCGACTGATTTCTGTGCATTGATTTTATATCCTGACACTTTACTGAATTCCTGTACAAGTTCTAGCAGTTTTGGAGTGGAGTCTTTTGGGTTTTCCACATATAGTATCATATCATCTGCGAAGAGTGATAGTTTGACTTCTTCTTTGCCAATTTGGATGCCTTTAATTTCTTTTTGTTGTCTGATTGCTGAGGCTAGGACTTCTAGTACTATGTTGAATAGCAGTGGTGATAACGGACATCCCTGCCGTGTTCCTGACCTTAGCGGAAAAGCTTTCAGTTTTTCTCCATTGAGAATGATACTTGCGATGGGTTTTTCATAGATGGCTTTGATAATATTGAGGTATGTGCCCTCTATCCCTACACTTTGAGGAGTTTTGATCAGGAAGGGATGCTGTACTTTGTCAAATGCTTTTTCAGCATCTATGGAGAGTATCATATGGTTCTTGTTCTTTCTTTTATTAATGTGTTGTATCACATTGATCGATTTGCGGATGTTGAACCAACCTTGCAGCCCTGGAATAAATCCCACTTGGTCGTGGTGAATAATCCTTTTAATGTACTGTTGAATCCTATTGGCTAGTATTTTGGTGAGAATTTTTGCATCTGTGTTCATCAAGGATATTGGTCTGTAGTTCTCTTTTTTAATGGGATCCTTGTCTGGTTTTGGGATCAAGGTGATGCTGGCCTCATAAAATGAGTTTGGAAGTTTTCCTTCCATTTCTATTTTTTGGAACAGTCTCAGGAGAATAGGAATTAGTTCTTCTTTAAATGTTTGGTAGAATTCCCCCGGGAAGCCATCTGGCCCTGGGCTTTTGTTTGTTTGGAGATTTTTGATGACTGTTTCAATCTCCTTACTGGTTATGGGTCTGTTCAGGCTTTCTATTTCTTCCTGGTTCAGTTGTGGTAGTTTATATGTCTCTAGGAATGCGTCCATTTCTTCCAGATTGTCAAATTTGTTGGCATAGAGTTGCTCATAATATGTTCTTATAATTGTCTGTATTTCTTTGGTGTTAGTTGTGATCTCTCCTCTTTCATTCATGATTTTATTTATTTGGGTCCTTTCTCTTTTCTTTTTGATAAGTCTGGCCAAGGGCTTATCAATCTTATTAATTCTTTCAAAGAACCAGCTCCTAGTTTCATTGATTTGTTCTATTGTTTTTTTTTTGGTTTCTATTTCATTGATTTCTGCTCTGATCTTTATGATTTCACTTCTCCTGCTGGGTTTAGGGTTTCTTTCTTGTTCTTTCTCCAGCTCCTTTAGGTGTAGGGTTAGGTTGTGTACCTGAGACCTTTCTTGTTTCTTGAGAAAGGCTTGTACCGCTATATATTTTCCTCTCAGGACTGCCTTTGTTGTGTCCCACAGATTTTGAACTGTTGTATTTTCATTATCATTTGTTTCCACGAATTTTTTCAATTCTTCTTTAATTTCCTGGTTGACCCATTCATTCTATAGAAGGATGCTGTTTAGTCTCCATGTATTTGGATTCTTTCCAAATTTCCTCTTGTGATTGAGTTCTAGCTTCAGAGCATTGTGGTCTGAAAATATGCAGGGAATGATCCCAATCTTTTGATACCGGTTGAGACCTGATTTAGGACCAAGGATGTGATCTATTCTGGAGAATGTTCCATGCGCACTAGAGAAGAATGTGTATT